ATTCCGAATAGGGATGAGTCAGTCAGCATCCGGTTCCAATTCCCGGCCTCGACCCCTAAAATTCATTTTGGAGACTGAAGCACAGGCCCAGCTCCTGTTACAGAGAAAATCATCTCTGCAAGGTCAGCATCCGATGTTTTTTAGCCGGATTACGAGCCAAAAGATCAAATGAAAATGAGAGAGCTGATGACGGAGCTGGAAAAGCGGAGAAGCAGCGGCGAAACACACCTGCAAATCAAGAACGGACAAACAATTCAGGCCAAAAGGACATTTCTGTGGCCAAAGCCAGTCATTCTGACAGCCTAACCGATACAAAGGTGCCAAATACTGAGGCTGCTCGCACCGGTGGCCGTTGTCTATAAATCTATTATACTAAATGTCAGAGTCTTCTAAACAAGCTAGATGAACTCAGGTTATTAGTCTTTGAACCGAAGCCCCACATACTTTTCCTAACAGAGACATGGTTAACTGAGGAAATAAGTAGTAGCGAAGTCAGAATTTAAGGCTATCAATTGTTCCGTTGTGATAGATTTCAGCGTAGAGGAGGAGGCACAGCGATTTATCTGTCGAATGAAATTGCGTGCTGTCAACTAGATATATCCGATGGTGCGCCCCGAAATTTTGAAATAATTTCATACAAGTTATTTATCAAACAATTACGGACACTGAACCTGTGTGTTGTCTATCGGCCTCCTAGCTCAAATGAAATCGCCGATATGGAATTACTTAGCGCACTGGATTTGTTATGTAAACAGAAGAACTTACTACTTCTGGGTGACTTCAACGCTCCAGGAATAGACCGGAACATTCCCCTAACAAACGTCCCGTCCACGTCATTTGAGCTCAAGCTACTACAACTCTCCCTGAACGAATACCTCATTTAGCAGATAAAATTCGGAACAAGAATGAGAGAAGGACAACGATCTACCTGTTTAGATCTCGTTTTCAGTAAAGAAGAAGGACTCATAAGGGAAGTGAATCCACAACCTCCACTCGGTTTAAGCGATCATATAGCTTTTACCTGCGTGTGCTCTCTCCTATCCAACATACAATCAAAAATCAAGAGGCGCAGAAATATTTGGAAGGGTGACTTTAACGCAAAGAGACGCACTCTTTTGGAGGAAACCTGGTTGGTCAACACAGAAGAACCAGGCGACTACTGGCAGTACTTTCGCGGGATTAAAGAGCGTCTAATTGATTCCCATTGTCCAAGAAAAATGACAAGACCATGTATGCGACCGCCGTGGGTCAATCCGACGACAAAAAAGACCATGAAGAAGGAGCAGAGACTGTGGAAAAAGTATTTGCAACTTCGAGATCCAAGGTCATTCGCCGAATATAAGGATCAGCGCAATAAATGCCGTAAAGAAATACGGGTTGCTAGAACTTCTTTAGACCGTCGACTGATAGCAGAATCCATTACATGGCCCAAAAGGTTTTACAAGTACATCCGCAGTAGGAGGAAATATAGGAACGAAATTGCGTGTCTTAAGGATAGCCTCGGAAATTTATTAGTTGAAGGGCCACAGAAGGTACGACTACTGTCTCAGTTTTTTCACTCGGTTTTTACTGAGGAGTCCTTAGAATACAATCAGCAGTTTGAAATGGACAGAGTCAGCCAGGAGCTTCAAATGCGCCAAGATATTGCCGTCATTGAAACCGTCGCCTTTTCCGTCGAAGAAGTCAGACGCATCATCAGTCAAATAAAACCCGATAAGTCTCCTGGACCCGACGGAATTCCCGGACTTATACTTAAGGAGCTGTCAAAGCCTCTTTCGACTCTCTTTGAGCTGTCAATGAGAACAAGAAGGCTGCCATCACAGTGGAAGACAGTTTACCTCGTTCCATTGCATAAGGGAGGTAGAAGGATGACAGCAAGCAGCTTTAGGCCTATTAGCTTAACTTGCCTCCCTTGCAAAACGATGGAAGCTCTAGTAAAGAGCGCTATACAGCAGTTTTGTGAAGAAAATAACAGCTTGCAGGATTTTCAAAATGGCTTTCGGAGAGGACGTTCCTGCCTCTCAAATCTGCTAGGTTGTCTGGAGATCTGGACCAGGGCTCTAGAAGAGGGTTTTGAGGTCGATGTCGTATACATCGATTTCCGCAAAGCTTTTGACACTGTCACGCACCAACGTCTTCTTCAAAAATTGAGCGCCATCGGCATCCGGGGAGATCTTCTGAACTGGATAAGGGCGTTTCTGGTTGGTCGGAAACAACGTGTCTGTATCGGGAATGATATGTCAGAATGGGTGAACGTGACCAGTGGTGTGCCCCAAGGCTCAGTTCTGGGAAAATTGCTCTTCATCCTTTGCGTTAACGACAGCCTTCAGGAACACGACTGCGGCAAAATAATGTTTGCAGACGATGTTAGGCTCTGGCAACTCATTAAGGGTCCGAATAATCAGAGATCCCTTCAAGATAATCTGCACTGACTGCAAGCGTGGTCGAAGAAATGGCTTCTAGAGTTCAATGTGGAGAAGTGTGCCGTCCTTCATCTGCGTCCAACCAACTCTTATTCAAATGAGAGCCTGAGGACATATCACCTGAAAGATGTAAGGCTTCCCGCAGAATCTTCACAGAAGGATCTCGGGGTTTGGATACAGAGCAACGTGAAACCAACACTGCAGTGCCACAAGGCCGCAAAAAAACGCCAAAAAGCCAATCCTACACAGACAGACTGAATTGCCTTAATTTATTCCCTCTGTGTTACAGGCAGCAAAGAGGTGATCTTATCCTCGTCTACAAGATAATACATGGCCTTGAGCATGGGCTTAGCTATGAGGACATGTTTCAGTGGCACCTTTCACCCAATCGTCGTGCTCACTCGATGAAGTTACGGACAATAATGTGCAGGCTGAATCTTCGTTCTGAATTTTTCGCGCAGAGGGTAGTGGAGAAATGCAACGATCTCCCTCAGTCAGTCGCGGAGGCGACGTCTCTGCGACTGTTCAAGAAACGCTTGGATGATTATTTGTGTCCCTTGTTTTCCCTCGACAGTCTGAATCTGAACTAAGACCCCACGTCCCCACAAATATTTTCTCTGAGACAATACTACTCAAATGAATTAAGTACTGTTATAATAGCGAATACGTTTCGTTCGTGTACAGTTATTTCTATCGAGCTGACATGGAATCAATATGGTTTCCAAAGGCTTTGCCTATTATCCTTACCAAATAAACTGAAAACAAATAAACAACTAAACTGAGTGTAATTTCGGCATCCAAAACCAAGTCTCCGTGATAGAAATAACATCCGCCTGCTTATCTGTTATCCACACTTTCAGCTCATCTAGCTTCTGGAGCGAACGCTGAGCATTTGCATAAAGAAAGCGGAGCTTGGCCCGGTCAGATTCCCGAACGATTTTTGAGTTAAAGTTGCTGCATATTTCGTGCGAGTTTTCGGGTCTATCGTCCCCTTCCGAGTCTACTGCTGTTTGATTGGACTGGATGTTAGTGTGTTGGCCGTCGCTTCCTCTGATCGGTTTGTCAAATAGGAGCGTTCTTTCCTTATTATCTGTTTGTTCACTATGCTCAGTGTTATCGGTTGTATCCAGAGGAATGAGCTGCGAACAATTACGATTTCCCTATTCAATATTCTTAGGTTCCTCTCGCCGGAAATGTATCTTCTGAGGAGTTTGACCTTGAGTTCTCTCAATTTCTTCCGTTCGGCCGGCAAGAAATCCCGCTGAAAAAATTGTTGGGTGGCATCTGGCAGTGCCGGTTTCCTGTTCAGCAATAAAAGACCTTGTTCCTCACTTTCGAGAATAATTTTTAATGGTCCATGATGGCCCGACTCGCCCTTACTTGGTCCTATTCTGAAAGCTTTCAAGACGGTGATGTTCTCTTTCTCTTGTAATAGGGATATGAGGTATTGCTGGAATAATTCCATATCGTGGTTTATTTTTTTCTTTGGAATGTCTGAATAAGGCTCAGGCATACCCTTTACGATGATGTATTTATTGCGATCAGTAGGGCGCTGTCGTTCATTTTAATACGCACAATCTGCATCACGAAAATTTTTATTGTCATCAATGTCCACTTCAGAGACAGTTGTCATGGCATAGCTACCGCAGGGTTCCTCGTTTATCGAGGCGTCTTGGTCATGTGGTACCTCTTGTGGCAGTGAGGCATTTGCTCGCATTATGTGTGGACTCTGCTCTCTCCTGCTGGCGCTTCGACATACTTGGTCTTTTCGGGATGCTTTGAGACGTCTCCTGTTTTTTTGAGATGCCTTTCGGTTATTTTTCGCTCGCACATGAGACAGGGTCTCGGTTGTTATTGGGTCCGTAGACGGGCTGTCTTCTTCTTCAGGGGATAATACAGTTACTGAAGTCGTACTGGCCGTTTTTCTGGGCATCTTCTGAACTTCCGACATTGCCATCATTCTCCTTTCGGGTGAATGGTAAGGAAGTTTCATCAGCTTTTCCACCTCAATTCTTAGATTCCTTATATCCTTCTCCATCTCCAAGATTTTCTGAATAAGTCTAAAACATGACGCGCAGGTTTCGTCCTCGTATTTAACATCCATTAAAGTTATTAGACTCCTTGCGCGTTTGGCGGGAGGTGATTTGACTGCAGAAGACTTATCGCAGTAGTCATTTACACATTGTTTTTTGGTTACTTTATCGTTTTTCTCAACCCGCCTGCTGCGCGTCAATGGCGTAGTGGTAGCGACAATCTCATCTTCACTGTTGTGCCCAGGTTCGAACCCGTCCCGAGGCCGATTTTCTGCCCAATGTCTGGGGGACCCTGAATCGACTACCACTATTAAGTCAATGAACTTGAGACGCTTTTAACGGTATGGAAACGATTTTAAGCGAGACCAACGGTATGAAGTAAATAGCAAACGACTCAGCCTTTCTTGTATTTGGGGAATATCGCGGTGCGGTTGTCAGAGATGTGGTCGGAAGGAGATAGGTTTTCCGGACTAACCTCCCACTGCAATTCTGTGAGAATCGAGGTATTGCTATGAAGAATCGACTTGTTAAATCCGTCAGGCCGTCAAAGCGTCCAGCACTCAGGAGACTCGGAAACGGTAATTCCCTCGGAGGTCGAAAAATTCAAACCGCATTCAAAAGACGCCGAGTTGAAAACTGTGGCGTTTCGAAACTGTGATTCGGGGAGACCGAAGGCTTGACTAGTATTGGAAATCTGGCGGACCACTTCGTCATCGATCGTGGTGCTGTAGGACATGGTGCAGCCCAGATATGTGAAGTTTTCCACCACTTGTTGATGGGTTCCGTTCACGCTGATTCGCGGTGCACTGTGGACAGTATTGGGTGGCGGTTGGTGCATGACCGCCGGCTTCTCCGAATTGATGATCAGGCCGAGGTTCTCGCAGGCAGCGTAGAAGAGATCTATGCGTCTTGGCATGCCCTTCTCAGTAGTTGCGTTGAGTACGCAGCCATCGGCGAATAGAAGTTGTTGGACGGTGGTTGTGGATACACGCGACTGAAAGTTTATCCGCCGGCGATTGAGGAGTTGGCCGTCCGTCCTGTAGGCGATGCGGATCCCATGGCGTTCATCACGCTAAGCGCCCATCCACATGGCACCGAACATGAGAATGAAGAAGGTACGCGCGAGAGCGCAACCCTGCTTCGCTCCGTTGGTCACTGCGAATGCCTCTTGGACGGCTCCATTGTCTGCGACTTGCGCCATCATGTCATCGTGGAGCCAATGCATCATCTCAGTGAACTGTTCGGGACAGCCAAATTTCTGCATGATTTTCCACAGTCCATCATGATTAACTTCATCGAAGGCTTTTGTCAGGTTTACGAAGGTATAGCACTGGTGGGTCCGCATCTCCTAACACTTGTCCTGCAGTTTATGCGCCGCGAAGATCATGTCGGGGGTCCCACGATGACGGTAGAAGCAACACTGGCTTACTGGCAGGAGACCCTGTTCCAGACGGTTTTCCAGGCGGTAGAGAAAAATGCGAGCGAAGATCTTCCCAGCGATGCTAAGTTCAGTTTATCGGAACGGCAGTCAGTTTCTAATAAGGACAGACACAAACCATCAGGCAGAACGCAGGTGAGCAAGAACAGGTAAAAACAAAGACAGCAGACAACGTTCGCTTACCTGGGGGCTCACTCGCCTCGTGGCCTCCTACGGTGTTCCAGACAGAGCCTCGTCCCGGCGATGCCAATGCGGTGATCCATCCGGCCAACCGAAACTACCGTGTACGGAAATGCATAAGCGAATACCCTCACCTGGTGTAACCCGCCGGTGGAGGCAGTCATTGGGGTGTGGCCGCTAAGCAGAGCCTAGCTTCGGGGAGCTACATGTGAGAGTTATGTGTCAGCAAGTGGACGCTCAGAGTAGTCTAGACCTTCAATCAAGCGAGCGGCCTATTACGTCTGTCGCGTGCACCCACTGCCGGACACCCCTACATCCCATTGAGAGGCACTACCCATATGCGCAAGCACACGCTATTAACAGGCGTGATATGTGATGCAGGTGCTGGTGGAGGGGGTTGCGATGGTATGGAGTAGCCAGAGGTTACATATAGCAGGTTTTCGTGAATACGCACGTGACCCAATAGGCTCATGTGTTAGCTCAATTTGCGCACTATTGGAAAACTTCTATTATTATTCCAGTATTTAAGTCTGGCTGTCGTTCTGACGTACAGAACTATCGAGGTGTCCATGAAACACCCTCTCTCGCCAAAATCTTTGAAAAAATTATCGCCATAAAAATTACCGAATTTTGCATAGCCAATCAAGTTATTAGCCCTTACCAGCATGGTTTTTTACCAGATCGCTCTTGTGAAACATGTCATCTGTCGTTTCTCGATCTACTTACCTCTCTTCGTAATGATCACCTATCTGTTGTCGTAATTTATTTTGATCTTAGTAAAGCCTTTGATAGAGTGCCACATAAAAGACTCTTGGTTAAATTGGAAGCTATGGGAATTCGCAGTCGACTAATAGACTTTCTCAGGTCACACCTGTCTAATCGTAAACAAAAGGTTTTGGTGGGATCTTCACTTTCCAGTGAAATTCCTATTGTGAGCGGTGTCCGTCGAAAATAGCATTGCCGTTCGAAACACATTAGATATTATATTATTGAATGCCAGGTCTGTTATAAACAAGATGGCCCAAATCAGAGCCATTGCTCTGGAAATGACGCCTGATATTATATGTGTAACAGAATCTTGGACACATTCTCTAATTCCTGACTCTGCCCTTCTCATAGATGACTTCGATTTTTACCGCCAAGACCGCACGACTAGGCGTGGGGGTGGTTGTCTTCTTTATCTTAAATCCTACCTAAAGCACTCTCCCTATTACTTGGATGTTTCCTCATTCGCGGGAAACTTCTGCTTTGCATCTGTTATTCTCTCGCCACAAAGAAAGGCAATTATTGGCTGTATCTACAATCCCCCAAATTCCTTAGCCAGTGATGATTCACAACTCTGTGAAATCTTTAAATTAATTTCGGAAGCTGCTTTCGATGTTAAAATAATCACTGGGGATTGTAACCTTCCTGAAATTGACTGGGTTCCCAATAGCTGCCCACCCAGATTCCAGTCCTTTCAGGATATTATCAATTTTTCTAATTGGTCCCAACTGGTGCGCTCTCCAACAAGAGATAATCACATTTTAGATCTAATCTTTACCAATGACATTGCTCCTCTTTCTGTTGCTTTAAAAAAGGACCTCTTTGACAGTGACCACGTATTAATTCATTGTTGCCTACCGCTTGCCTTTTCAAAAAAGACAAGCGCTGTTCAGACTTTCATGAACTACGACTGCGTAGATAGCGACTTAATAAATAACTATATGAGATCCTTGGATTGGTGTGGCTTCCTCACTTGTAGCGATGTAACCATTCTTCGTGATGTCATGTCCAATGTTTTCAAGGACATACTAGAGTTTGTGCCGCGTAGATATCTCAAGCCTAATTCTTCAGATTCTCTTGTTCCTCATTTTCTTCAGAACAGACTAAAAAAGTTGAGGCGACAACTGCGTGACCCATCCACTAGTTCCTTATCTGTTCATCTTAGAATCACAGAGATATTTGAGATGGCCTCAAGGATGCGCCAAGCGCGCGACAGGCAAAGAGAATCAATCGCTCTCAGTGGTTCGAACCCTGGCAAATCCGTCGCTAACATCTTCCGTCATCGGTCCTCCTCTAAGTGGGGTCATGAACTTCCACCCATGCTAAATGATAACAAAGTCTTCCTCACCGATGACACTAACAAGGCGGAGTTGTTTAGTGCTTTCTTCGCAAAACACCTTGCTACCGAGTCCGATCCGGTCCCTTTCTCTCGATCACTTTCAGATAGGACACTTAGTACAATTGATGTCTCCTCAGATCTCATTAAAAAACACATGAGCCGTTTGAAATACTCACACTGCTCAGGAACGGACGGGATTCCGAATTCGATTATTAAACAAGCGTCCGACTTTCCCTTATTGCTCAGTCATCTATTCTCGGTTTATATTTCAAAAGGATTCTTTCCTGAAACATGGAAAACGTCAATTATCATTCCCGTTTTCAAGTCGGGATCTCGGTCCGATGTTAATAACTATCGGGGCGTGCACAAAACGCCGTCTCTAGCAAAACTTCTTGAAAGGATTATTTTCAATGAAATTCTTGACTTCTGTCTAGCTAATCGGCTTCTGAGCTCTAGTCAGCATGGGTTTTTACCGGAACGATCCTGCGAAACATGCCACTTGGCTTTTCTTAATCTAATCACTTCTCTTCGTAATGAGCGGCAGTCAGTGGTAGTTATTTACTTTGATCTTAGCAAAGCCTTTGACAAGGTGCCCCATAGACGTCTTTTAGTAAAATTGGAAGCCCTCGGCATTCGGCCGCCTCTACTCGACTTCATTAGGTCCTATCTGTCCAACCGATATCAGAAAGTCATGGTCGGTAATAGCTACTCGACACCTCACTCGATCACGAGTGGCGTACTTCAAGGCACGGTCCTGGGTCCGCTACTCTTCCTTCTGTACATCAATGATATTTCGACTGAACTCGCAAATTCGCAAACTTTTACTTATGCCGATGACCTCAAGTGTGTTTACTCATACTCTAAGGACACCGCAAATGTTTGTGTTGAAAAAATTAATGCCGATTTACTACGCTTAAGCAGATGGGGTTCGACATGGCAGATGGAGTTTTCATCATCCAAGTGTAGTTTCATGTCTTTTGGTCCTACCAAACTTCCTGGTCCCATAATTTTTCAGAATAACCCACTCTCAGAATGCCTCACCATAAAGGACCTAGGTCTAAGTTATACAAATAAACATTCTTTATCACCTCATGCAGATAGAATCTCTGCCAGAGCCGCGCAGATATGTGGATTCATATCGCATAATTTTTTCCTTCCGGAAATGAAGCTAAGACTTTATCAAATGTTTGTTCTTCCAGTCCTCGAATATTGCTGTCCTTTCTTCGGTTTAATGAGCGCCTGCGACCGTAATAAAATCGAAAATGTTCAGAGGGCTTTCACTCGGAAACTGTTCTCACAAGCTTCGTCTAGTATTTCTTATACTCAGAGATGTCAGCTGGCGAACATGAAGTTTTTGTGGGTTAGAAGACTCGAAGCTGGCCTTTGCTTCCTTTTTCGCATCAACTCTAGCTCCAGTCTTCCGCACATTGACACTCTCACTCCGAGAGATCGGTCTTATGCCACGCGCAACTCCTGCATGGTTATTCCGCCGCCTCTTTGTACTACATCTAAGCGCTCCCTCTTCTTTGCTTCCAAATATGCCTTTCTTTGGAATAATCTTCCGCCTGAAACTAGATTATCGCCTAGGTTACTGGTATTCAAGTCGAAATTACGCAACCATCTTACACCGGAAAGCATAAAGGCACTGTTAACGGTCTCATTCCCGAACACTCAGGTTCTTGACTTCGAGAAGGGTCCTCCTGGGATTTAGTGGTAGATTAAGTGGTAACTCTTAATTATATCATTAGAAACCCCTGTTTTTAATTGGTTTCTAAATCCATCGCCATCCTTCCCCCATAGCGACAATTTTCGCGGTTTTTGATGTCATCTCCCGCATTCCGACCTCATGCGGTCTGTCGACGCTCACGGCGGAACCTTCCGTATTCACTGTCTACTAGTAGTTCGGTCGTACCTCCCTTCCTTACTGCTCGGCTGAGCTCGAAGCGTGCTGTGGCCGATCGCATCTCGGTTCCTCTCGTCTGGCCTCTTTGACGCGGCGTACCAATCCGGCCCAGACGATCTGAGTTGTGAATCCCGTATACAATGCCATTTGCAAGCCAGTCCTGTCTGACCCACATTCGAACCCATCAAGGCGGACATTTATTGATACCCTGACGATGACCGAAAACATTCCGTTATATACCGCCACCTACAGGCCAGTCCTGCTCGCATTTTTTCTGATATTATTTTTAATGAGGGGTTTTTCTCCTGTAAAATTAATCCAATCATTTTTAACTTTTTCCGAGGAGTTTTTTTCACCCCTCAATCTTCATGTTTCTCAATGGACTTCTAATTCAGAAACTATGAATTGCATTTTGTAAAGATTCAGCCTACCTCGTCTAAAACTCGCATGCAAATTTACTTTAACTTGCTTTGATGGGACCCCGACGGGTCTTTAATAAAAAAATTATCTATTATCTACAAGGTACCGTTTTAGGTCCTCTTTTGCTATTGCTTTACATAAATGATATTTCAGCCGCAGTTAAACATTCTCAATCATTTATTTATGCCGATGATCTCAAATGTGTATATTTTTTCAAAAAATCTACAAGCCTTCATTGCCTGGAGCAAATCCATGCTGACTTGCTTGCTCTCTCAGCTTGGAGCTCAAAATGGCTAATGGAAATCTCTCCGTCTAAATGTCGTTATATGTGTTTTGGACCTGATAGGCTACCCCAACCTGTGGTCTTTCAAGGAACACCTATGACTGAATGTGCCACCATCAAGGATTTAGGTTTAAGCTACACTAGTAATCTTGATCTCTCGCCGCACGCTGACAGAATTACAGCCAAAGCTGCCCAGATTTGTGACTTTATTTCTTACAATTTCTATCTTCCTGAAATTAAATTAAGGCTCTATCGTATGTTTGTACTTCCCATTCTCGAGTATTGTTGTCCATTCTTTGGTTTGATGAATGAAGCCAGTCGTTTAAAAATTGAAAATGTCCAAAGACGTTTTTCAAAAAAACTTTTAGATAGGGAACATCCCAATATCTCCTACTCAGATAGATGCCAACTAACTAACCTAAAATTTTTATGGGTTCGAAGACTAGAAGCGGGCCTCTGTCTCCTCTTTCGCATTAATCATAGAACAAATTTTCCTCGGATTTCAACACTTACCCCTAGTAGTCGCCCATACAATCTTCGCAACTCGTCTCTAATTATACCTCTTTCAGCGTCCTGAACCTCTAAGCGCTCCCTTTTTTTCGCTTCCAGATATACTTTCCTCTGGAATAACCTTCCAATAAATATAAGATCTTCAGAAAATCTACACAAATTTAAGAGAAGGCTACGCCTTTATCTGAATACTGACTCGATTAAACTTTTATCTTTCTCATACTTCCCAGACGACATTTTCTATGACACCGAGAAAGGGCCACAGGGTATTTAGCATGCCGCAATTAAATTTCCGTATCTGTTCGCGTTTCCTTTCTCTATGAATAGTCTAGCTACCTAAGATCCGCTCACCAGAAATGTTATTTAATCCAATTTTTAAGTTCATGCAACGTGCCCTCACAGAATGCGCGCCTTCGACGCCCTTGGCGAAACCACCTGTATTCGCCATATACTAGCAGTTTCGTCGCATCTCCCTTCCCCCATCCTCGGTTGGACTCGGATGAATATAACCGACCGCATCTGGGTTCCTATCGCCTCGGGACTGATCTTCATGATGCCCTCACTGAATGCGCTCCATCAGCGGTCTTGACAAAGCCTTCTATATTCGCCATATACTAGTAATCTGGTCGCATCTCCCTTCCCCCATGTTCGGATGGACTCGGTTGAATGAAACCGACCGCATCTGGGTTCCTATCGGCTTGAGACTGGTTTTCAATTTCGGCACTTATTTTTCTTTTTCAAGGTGATACAGGCCAGTCCTGACCGACCCGCCTACGTACCATTTTATGAAATCCGTTGCACAATGCCATATACAGCTGACATCTATTTCGGCCATGTTGATGTCGGGCTTTATTCCATTTTGTACCGCAACATGCAGGCCAGTCCTCCCTGTTTTTTTCTGATGCTATTTTTCTGAGGGTTTTTTTTCTCCTGTTAAATTACTACAATCATTTTTAAATTTTGCTTTGGAGTTTTTTTTCACCCCTCGTTTTTTTCATTTTCATTTTGCTTAGCGGACTTCTAATCTCAAAAACTATGCATTGCACTTTGTGCAGATTTTGCCTTCATCGTCTAAAATTTGCATGTAAATTTATTTTTACTTGCTTTGATGGGACCCCAACGAATCTTTAATAAAAATAATTGAATTGAATTGAATTGACAGTTGAGATGAATGCGGCCAGTGTATGTGGAAGCTCCAGGACCTGACTCGCCAGTCTCCGTGGAGTGCATTTGCGAGTAGCCGACCAGGCCCGTGTGGGAGGTGAATGTACGGTCGCGAGGATGACAGATTTGGACCGAGTCTACATCGCTGAATATGGGCGTGCTGGTTTTAATGGCAGCAGTTGATGGGGCGTCGGACGTCATCCCACCCTTGAAAAGAACGCGAGATGTCGCGGCGTTGGCGGAGCTGGTCCCTGTGATAGACCTAGGAGTGGAGGCAGGGCGAATGGCGACAGTAATTGATGGTAGCGGTCGTGTGATTACCGATGAAGGGCTTGGTCGTTTACGCGGGAGTTGCGGCAGGGACAGGAGCGGGAGGAGAAGTTGACGTTGTCGGGTTGTTGGTCTAGTGCACTGAAGGCGTCCTTCGAGACCGATTCGGACAGGAAATGTGCGTTCGTAGCGTCGACATTTTGGATGCGACTGGGTGTTGGCACTGGGAGTCGAGGCACTTATGACTTGCAACGTACCCTTTTGGCCTTGGCGGTGACGACCTGAGTGGCTTCGCAGAAGGCTGCACCGGTCTTCACTCCCGTTCTTCATGCTGGTCTGTTCTGGGTGAGGTCCTCCTAGGTCTCCAGGTTGATCTGAGGAGGTTTCAAGATGTCCTTGCATATATACCGTTGGTCTGATTTGCGGGGAGGGGTCGGTGGTAGATAGGGAAAGGTACCGGCTATTTTCGCCGACAGGCGGTTGCACCATCTCCACCGTGAATCCGCACCAAAAGTGTTCACAACATTCACCTGTGACGACATTGCCATGGAGGAGTTGTTTTAGTAGACTTGTATCTTCTATCCTCACGAGATGGCCGCTCTAACGTAGTTGCAGTTGCCACAACATGGCGTGAATGCCGAGGACTCCTGCCCGTTCGAGGACTTCCGTGTCGGGGATCCTACCTTGCCATCCCAGGTTCAACATTCCGTGAAGGCGGCTGAGACGGAAGTGGTTGGGCTTCCTGGCATGACTGGAGTTGATGATTCAGGCCTCCGCTCCATACAGGAGTGTCATCAAGATGATGGCCTTGCATATCATCAGTTCGATGTTCGAGTGAAGACAGTGACGCTCCCATGTGGAGGTCTAAAGCCGGCCGAATGCTTGGTTGGCTTTGGGGAGCCGGCCGGCAGCCTCATCGTCTATGTTTGCATTGCACGGGAGTGTGTTTCCTAGGCAGGTGAAGTTGTCCACATTCTGGAACTGGCTGCCGTTCGCAATGATATGAGGAAAGTTGTATTCAGCGTTAGGTGAAAGTTGGTACATAACCACTGCCTATTCCATTTTGATTATCGGGCCAAAGATAGTACACCCGACAAAGAAGAGGGCCATGCTCCGTCGCATGTCTACTTGGGTCGTAGTCGTCGGTGGAGAGCGGGTTGTGAAAAGTAGTTGCAGTTGGTCGCAATTAGGCCTTCGTGCGCCTGCTGTTGAGAAGATGCCTGCCAATGCTACAGTCACTACGTACTCCAGGGCGCCCATTCCAGTCGGCGTCCATCAGGACTGTTCATAGCCTCCTAAAAGCTTTCCTTCACCACTGCATGGTTTGGATGAAATGTTTCTGCCAGCCTTCCAGAGGACAATATTTCATGCTGGTTGTATATAATCGAATTTGTAACTCTGACTGTGTAACGGATCAGGAATAGCATGGAGGTATTGGAATGTTGTGAGCGCTCTTGACGTTAATTCACGGTGGAGATGGTGCAATCGCGTGTCGGTGAAAATAGCCGGTACCCTTCCCACTGTACCCCGGACCCCTCCCCGCAACCCAACGCAACGCTGTATGTACATATATATTTTTTGGAGATGATAGGCTCACTGTAAATGTGTGAACTTTGTTTGTAAATTTTTGGCGTCGGTTCCCCGTGTCATCGTCAAACTCGAGTAGATGTACAAAAAAACAACTAAAATTCTAAAACGTGCCCAAAAAATCAATACGTCTCCAGAAATTCTGCCAGGAGGCGTCTGCAACATAGATTATGTTGTATTGATTGGTCCTCGTCTCTTCCACTTTCCCAGCGATTTTTGTGCGTGACATCCAAGTCAGTATGCCGATTAATACATGACTCATTTGAATGCTTGGCTTCAAGAAATTCTCGGCCTTTTTTGGTAGGGCAGACACTGACGATGCGAGTCTTGGCCCATGCAAAAGCAGGCCCGGTATCTAGTGTGTTAAGTGCCATTTGAGATAGATGATCTCGCCTCTTAACAGCTAACTGATGTTCGTGGATGCGTGTGCAGGCGGACTTTCCAGTTTGGCCACAATATACAGCATCGCAAGTTTCCCGTGGGATCTTGTAGACGACTTCCTTCTTCTGCGGGTAGCCAACACTACCCTTAGGGTGGACAAGCTGACTGCGTAAGATAGTCGCCGGTCTGTGCGCCACTTGTATTCGGAATCTCCTCAGGCTTCTCTCTTACAGAGCCTCTCTTACATTAAAAATGTTTCCGAACTCGTTGAAAGACGCCTGAGGAGATTCCAAATACAAGTGGCGCACAGACCTTCCTTTCAACACATATGCCACACACATTCAGCTACACTGACGATGCGCCCACAACCTTCTTAGCGAGCCTTGAATCTATTTTACTGACCTCTGCTGTGACTGAAGAAATGCGCGCAGGCGTACGCAGCTGTGCCACTGGCCTCCTTCGACAAAAGACGCACCACCAACTCTTGCCCATTGATGAAGAAGAAAGGTTACAGTCTCTTAAGATAGACGACGGTATTGTGATTGTGTCTGCTGACAAACGTGGCGCGACCGTCGTCATGGAAAAGAGTGATTACGTTGACAAGGCGAACCAAGTCTTTAACGGCAGGGAAACCTACGCACCACTCGAGGAGGACCCGACTAAAAAGCAGGCCGCAGCTGTAAAAAAAAGAAGGCGAATGAGCTCACTCGACTGAAACTCATAACCCCCCGATGATTCCAGACGTATGACTCTCAACAACCCCCGAATAGCCCATGCATATGTCCTTCCAAAGGTGCACAAAGAAGGTGCGCCATTGAGGATCATAGTGCCGCCTATTGGATCGCCCGCCTACAACTCGCTTAATGGTTATACAGGCACCTGAAGCGCCTCATCGATGGATCACAATATAGCAATAAAAACTCTCAGGCATTCCTCGAGAAGATCCAAGGCCTGAAAGTAAGTCTTGATGAGTGTATTCTATCGTTTGATGTGGTTGCCCTGTTTTCTCCAATACCACATGACCTGGCGATTGACAGCGTAACCCGACGTCTGCGAGATAATCCAACCTACATTTCAGTTCAACACATTTCAGAAATGCTTCTGCTCTGCCTCAAGAACTACTGCCAATTCGACGCAAAGTTTTATTAACCGGTTAGGGGTACGCCAATGTGCTCGTCAATGTCAGGCCTGCTAGCTGAACTAGTATTACAACAAATATAAGAGGAAGGTATGCAAAACTTTAAGCCGAAAATATGGCTCCCATAAGAAGATGGTACGCTTGTTATCATGAAGAACTGAGAAATCAAGCAATTGCATCAGAGTCTGAATAGCGTATTACCAGCTATCCAGTTTACTCGCGAAGAGGCAACGGGAGGCAGTCTCCCATTTCTAGACGTTAGTATCCAAACACCTAGTGATGGCGGCCTTGCTACGAGCGTGTACCGAAAAGACTCCGGTGCTGGCCTCATTCTTAATTATGAGAGTAACCATCCTGCGGCTGATAAAAGGAGCTGTGTCCGAACCCTTTTCCACCGGGCCTATCGTTATTGCAGCAGCGATGATCTACATAAGAAAGAACTCGCTTTCCTGTATCGGTTATTCCGACTCAACGGATACCCCGTCAGCTTTGTAAAAAATTGTCTCAGGCATCAGAGACAACCACAAGACATTGGTTCCAATGAGGGGACAGGACTATGGAAATTCTACTCTCTACCCTACTTGCAGGGTATTTCCGAAGCGATCGCCTGACAAATAAACCGGTTTGGCATTTTCTTTGCCCACAAGCCGGCGTCCGTCGTGCGCACAACACTCGCCTGAGTGAAAGACCCTATACCTAAAGTGCAGCAAACCAACGTCATCTACCGCATTCTGTGTGCCAACTGCTCTTGCGAATAGGTTGCTCATACAGGCCGACGACTTGGGACGCGTATAAACGAGCATAAACTAGCCATCCGCCGACGTGCCCCTTTGTTACTCGTGTTTGCGCACGTCCTTGAATGCGAGCACCGCTTCAATTGGGAAGGAACTGAAGTTGTTGTCATGGCGAACACCAAACATGCTCGTGAATTCTTCGAAGCCTGGCACTCTAACACGACAAGCATCAATCCCCATGTTGATCTAGACGCTCATTACGAAGGTCTGCGTGCCCGGCTCACTGACTTGCGCCCACGACCTAACAACAGCCGTTAATCCACACTGGACCATGTTGAATCGCACTATTTGGCCATTCCATTACATCTCCCTCCCCCCAGACAGAGCTAACAGCAACTGCAATCCCTAGCACCTCTACGTTGGGCTCACTGACCTCTGCCCGCATGCCGGATCGACGATCACTAAGTCCACTGTCCATAGTTCCATTGATTCGTCATCCCCCTTACCCTGCAACACAGGGAGCCGCAACAGTTCCCCCTTACCTCCCCCGCCACGGATCCTACACTAATTATCTGTCCACCCCCATGCATACATTACTTGCCTGCCTGTCAATGGCTGTCCTGTCACTCCAACAAAGTTATTCTGACCAGTTCACTTTCTCCATTGTTTATTTCGTCTGACGACGGGTTGGTGAACCAGCTCGAAAATTCACAAGTACAATTCGATTTTTTTCCGATGAACCTTCTATCTTCAACATATATCTTTTCATTTTCATTTTGCTTAGCGGACTTTTAATCTCAAAAACTATGCATTGCACTCTGTGCAGATTTTGCCTACATCGTCTAAAATTTGCATGTAAATTTATTTTTACTTGCTTTGATGGGACCCCGACGGGTCTTTAATAAAAATAATTGAATTAAGCGGATCTCGTGGTTGTAAAGATGATTGCCAGCCTAGGACGTGAGCCAACGGATCGGTGTGCATCCATTCCTGATTTAATAAATTCCCGATCTGCAGCGATAGAGAATGACAGGTGGCGAGACACTAATGATTTTCAGTTCGATGAAGTGTCTATGGCCCATCTGTTAGACTCCAGTGGTTGTCCAACTGAGCCAGGTGCGTCTGTGCACATGTTTTTGTTCCTGGTCCCAGCTGCTGGTCACCGTTTTGATTGGCTGAATGAAGGCGGAATAAACCTGAAACGGTACTGTATCAATCTTCCAGCATTCTCGGTCTTCCCTTCTCGCCGCCATACATATATACATGTAGAAGAGGATGAGAAGACCATCGTTGGGACCAATTGTTTATTTACCTGACGTTTCGAACTCTCACTCGAGCCCATTGTCAAGGAATGAAGGAACTGTACAACTCATCGCATATTTAGCTCACTTCTGCCAGAAATGACCTCCAGCTGCGCTGCTGATTTGTTCACGCAGTGTTTGATATGCGATTGGCAGATCGATATATCGATTAATCGGATTCTCGGTTCACTGTCACGCTTCTTTTAGCAGGCGAGCAGCTCGGTCGTCCGACTGACCCAATATTCTCACGCACTGAAAGTCAATGCCGTGCCCTGGCGTGGAGCCGTGGGCGACTACCAAGGGAAGTCTATTCTTCCGACTCACAGGCAACTCATGTTCTTGCAGTCT